AAAAAAAAAAAGCTATGCTACAACCATCAACACAACACTGTTTCAAAAGCGAAGGTAGACTTTTAAGTACTGTTCATGAAAAGATGTCCACAATGTTTCAAATGAAAAACAAAAAGTTGCTTTATATAACATACATGTCATTTAAAAATAAAGTATGTTTTATATATACACAGAACAGAGTCTGGAAAAATACGTACACTAAACTCAACACAATAACCATATGTATAAGATATGTAGCTGCTTACTTTCTACATTTGTGAGTTTAATTTTTTTACAAAGAGGTATATAGAACTTTAAATTTTAAATGCATTTATTATGAAAAGTCACAACATGTGACTACACATGCTAACTTAGGATAAGGGGGAAATCAAACTGAATTTATAACGCAAGCAGAGAATGCATACCTATAGTTGCAAAAAATCATAACTTTATACCCTGTATAGGGTTTCTAAGGCTGCAAATTTTTGTAAGAGCAGAAAGCCTCATCTTTCTCCAGTGGAGCTGCTGGTGGGTTTAAATTGCTGACCTTGCAGTTAACAGTTCAGTGTTGATCCTACAGTACCACCAAATGGCCCTGTTTTTGAGGGAGCTTTCTGGTAACCTAGTGGTTACGAATCAGGCTGCTAAATCTCACGGTCAGCAGTTCGAAACTACCAGCTGTTCCATGGGAGAAAGATGAGGCTAACTATGAGTTGGAACTGACTCCACGGCACATAACAACAAGTGGTTATTAGGTGCCTTCAAGTAGCCTCGGACTCAGCTGACTAATGGCAATCTTACCATATGCATAATAAGAGGTCGCTGTTGTTGTGAAGTGCGACCCATAGCGACCCTGTATAGGATTTCCAAGAAGCAGCTGGCAAGCTTGAACTGCTGACCTTGCAGTTCAAACGACTTTGCAGTCTGGTGCATTAACCCACAGCGCCACACCAGGACTCCATAATAAGAAGTAGTCACAGTTAATGTTTGGGTCCTTTCTGATCTTTTTTTCCCATATAAGAGATATAAAAGCACATATATAATTTTTTTTTCTCAAAAATGAGATCAGACTCTATATATTGCTATGCAATTCCAATTTTTTCACAAAACCATGTGTCAGGATATATCTCATTGCATGATGGTATAGTAATACGAAAGTGAGTCGAAAGTTTTCTGCACTCTGGCTGTAGAATTTTTATCAACTTTTAGGAAAGGCAAACACATCAGTTTTTGAAATAATCTCTGCTTTTCAATACACTTTGTCCATCTGTCAACAAGTTTTCATATTCACTTACTAAAAAATGTTTTAGGCTGAA